CGAGACTGAGCGGCGGGGAGTGGCGCCCGGCCTGGGGCCCCGGCAGCGAGGAAGATGGCGGACCCGGCCGAGTGCAACATCAAAGTGATGTGTCGCTTCAGACCTCTCAACGAGTCGGAGGTGAACCGCGGCGACAAGTACGTCGCCAAGTTTCAGGGAGAAGACACGGTCATGATGGCGGTGAGTGAGCCCGAGCCTGCCCGCAGCCCCGCGGCCGCGGGCCCGACGGGGCCCTGAGTTCAGGGAGGTGGCGGAGTGGAGAGCGGCCTCCGGGCTGTCCCCAGCCGCCCCGGGCGGCGTTTGCCGGTTCCGACCCTCCCGGAGAGGGAGGCTGCCGCCCCGCGGGTTTTTCCGGACCGGCTGCTTCCGGGTCGGGGGCGCGGCCGGCCTGGGGAGACGCCGGGTCTCCACCTGGGACGCTCGGCACCTGGGGCGTCCGGGGAGCCGCCCCGGAGCGCGTTCGGTGCCCGTCCGAGGCTGTCGCTGTCGGTGCGCAGTTATGGTCAGGGTGGAAGCTGGCCGGAACCCCGGGCCGGGCGATGGACCCACGACCACGCGTGGAACCATATTGTTTCTCCAGCGAGGGCAGGAAGCCTACCGGACGAGCTGCACGGGCCGTAGACGTTCCCCACCCACTGTTTGAGCGATGAATGACTTGGTAGCCCGTAGCCACGGAGAGCGGGATTGAGGACTGCAACTGAAACGGTGGATTTGCCCTCGAAATCGGAGTGATGCTTGTTGGTTGTGTGTTTGTTTGAGCTGATCTGTCCGATTCAGATCGGGTCCAATGAGTGCGTGCCCGGAAAGTTCCAGAATCTCAACCCCTAGGGAATTTCAGGGAACTCATTGTGTAGGACAGTGTGGGCGTTTACCCCTCAAAAAGGAGATGGCAAACTTTCTGGAAAAGTAGTCCATCGAGGTGGATTTCTCATGATAATATTAGGTTTGTAATTATACATTGAAGCGCTAGCTTGGTGGAAGTTGCCTTTGGTGAAACCGAGGAAGGTGAGGTACTGCCCCTTTTTAAGAGAAAGCATAACTCGGTTGGCTGATGATCCATTATCAAGGAGATCAGACTGTGAGGTATGTTTGCTTATGCCTTTTCCTTCATCCCTCTGGTGTTGAAAGGTCTGAAAATGGCATGCCCGTGAAAGCTGGGATTAAAAATGGCTGGGAACATTACATACAGTGAGCCAGCGCCAAAAATGAAATTCGCATTTCTTGGTAATGCCATGTTGGCAGAACTTTTTCTAGGTTACTTTCTGCATTGCTTTTCAGTCCCAATGTTTACTATGTTGATTCGCCATATTGTTGGGGCAGCTTAATTTAGTAGAGGAAAGAAGTCATAAAAGATGAGACACTGATGATAGAAATCACTGACAGGTAATACAGGACTGAACTTCCTGAGGGCTTCTGTCAGGGTTTCCAAGAGAATGCCATCTCTTAAGAAAATTGAATGCCGGGGTCCACACCCCTCCCTCTGCGGGGACAAGTCTTTGGGTCAGTCAGTAACTGCCACCTACTACTGTGAAGACATGAGCCAGGTTGGGTCTATGTTAACAAGTCCACAAGGAAAACTCTTGCTATAAAAGATAGCATGCGGAGGCCAGTTAGACATGCTTTTCCTTTAGGATGGTAGCGTTTACGTAGAATCCAAAGAAACCTGAGCTGTTCGTTGGCAAATGTAAGGCTACTCGTTTCTCAGTTTTTGTGATTACTCAGCTCTGGCCGAGGCTGATACATCGAAGATTTTTTTCCCCTCTTACACTAGTATTAGAATGCAACATTCTCCAGATTTTATTTATTTATGTGAGATCTTTCAGGATCATTAAGATTCCTTTTAAAGTTCTAATAGCATTTAACATTCATAAAATGTATCAGGATTAAAATAGAAGTCAGTCTTTTTACCATGGCCCAAATAGGACATGTGATGAAAGAGCTGAAAGAAAACAAATAATTGCCACAGGAACATACATTTATTCTAGATTGCTTTCTTTGGAAAAGGTTGTATATTGTGTGTTCCATATTTGCCTTAATATGGCAGATAGACTTATATGACAATATTAGGAATGTGGGCTAGATGCTTGAGTTGTGAATCAGTAATGAATGGAGTTGTGAATCGTTGGCTTACAGGTAAACTGGTAAGCATGCAGTGTGGTTTACTTAAAAATATTAGCTGCTATTTATATCATCAATGCTTTTAATATAACGTGGCTTAGGGGTTACTCATTGGGCTGGGACCCACAAGGTCAGCAGTTTGAAACTACCAGCTGCCCTGCTGGAGAAAAATGAGACATTCTACTCCCATAAAGAGTTACAGTCTTGGAAACTCACAAGGGCAGCCCTACCCTGCCCTGTAGGGGCTCTCTGAGGTGGGATCAACCTAACAGTTGACTTTTAACCCAAGGCAGGCAAGACTTGTAATTTTCTACTGTTCACTGTGTATTCAGCAGACTTTTATCCCGATTTATTTGTAAATATTTGGTGAAGTGTTGCATATCACATGCTAATGAAATATACTTTCATAAAAGCCTTTAAACGATACAAGTAGAATCTACTTGTTTTCTTTAGAAGGAAATTTGGAATTTGATTGGTTTTAGGAAAATGGCATAGGTAAAAAATGACAGTTCCCATCTTTTAGGAAAGACTTTTAAAATTAATAGAATGTGTTATCCAGTAGTGAAAAGAGGAAAACCTCTTAAGTAGTTGTAATGAGCCTGTGAAAGCTGTGTGTGTATAAAATAAAAGATGTTTTCCGTATCCATTCATGCACTATAAAGGTGGAATTTTCTCATTTGCATCAGTAAATGTCTGTGCTAATCAGCTTCCATTGTACGTTATTACTGGAAAGGTTGCCAGAACAAAAAGCAATTTTATTGGAATTAGAGGAGAATTAAACCAATTAGAGCACTTTGCCTTGTTCCTTGCCTAAAGCAGAACACTTTTCTCCTTTCCAAGAGAATTCTGATTGGTGTTTAAACCCTAAGGTTACCTGAAAAGTGGAGATTGGACATGGAGAGGGTACCTCTATCTCTACTTTCAAGATTTTGGAATGTTAACCGATAACCAATGTTAACCGATAACCAGTCTTTAACTAGGAAAATGTAGTAAGGCATAATCCTTCATAATCTGAAAAGGTCACTGCAGAATTCCAGAGGAAGGCATATCCCTGCCAAAGGGTATCCTTCATAACCATATTTGGTGTTGCGCTTGGTCTGTGCAGATGCAAATAGAAATCACAGGAATCATTTCGTATAACAAATCTAAGGTATGGTTGCAGATCAGTTAATGCCTATTTGATTTTCTCCCCTGGTGCCTAAAACAGAGGAGTCCGTTTTGTTACTTGGTGTTTATAAAATGGTAAACTAAAGCTTTTAAGTATTTTCAAAGGTACATAAGCTTGTATCATTTACATTTCACAGCTAAGCACCAGGTCTTTAGTGATTTGTTTTTCATTTTAAAGTATATTTTATTGTGTTTTCTGTGAATGCCCTGCAAAGTTGTTTCTAACAAGTACTATACAAATTATTCAGAGACATTGGTAATGCTTTCTGGTTGTTTCACTTCCAGTAAACTGATTTCCTTTGCGCTTTCATCTTTGATTTAGAGTAATTGTTGACCTTTTGGTCTCATGTAGTTTTATTTTTTGTTTTGTTTTTTAAGTATAAATGTTGTTGTTGAAGATATACACCAAAACATAGACCAGTTCAAGTGTCTGAATACCGTTTAGTAACATTGGTTACATTCTTCAGATTGTACCACAATTGTCACCCTCATTTTCTAGAGTTGTGCCTCCTTTATTGACAGAGGTTCACTCCCCCACCCCCCCAGGTTCCTTTTTCATATTTAAAGTTGCTATTGTCATGCTCCCATATAAACCCCCAAACCAAGCCTACTGTGAGTCAATTATGATTTAGCATTAGCATAGTACAGAGTAGAACTGCTCAGCGGGCTTTCCGAGGCCTGGAGTCTTTACCAAAGCAGACTAGCTTGCCTGTTCCTTGCTGTGGCTAGTGGGTGAGCAGACATCATCTACTACTAGCTAAACTATCATTTGGTTTTATGAAGGCTTCAGGGGATATTTTTGTTGAAGGTTTAAGATTGTTTGTGGGCAACAGGTGCAGGATTTATCCACCTTCATGACTCCAGAAAGTCTGAAATCCTGTTCTACATTTTCCCTCTTTTGATTTAAGATTTTTCTGTGGAATTCTTCATCAAAATGTTCAATAATGTAGCTGGGCAGTATCTAGGTCTTATGTCAAAGGAGCAGTTTGTTCATGGAGATAATTAACTAGTTTTTAAATGTAGATTTCCAGATATTGAGTCTTCTTTTGCTTAATTTATTTGAAAAGTGATTATTTAAGGCAGTATGCTTGAACAAAAGCAAAGTTAACAAAAGCAAAAAAAGGTTTACATTTTACAAATCTTGTCTTAATCCCAGGATACCAAATCAGTCAAAAGATATGGGTAGATTGCCAATCAAGACATTTGCTTTACTTAATAAAACTATAATTTAGTTCTGGGATTAAATTCAAGAGTCTTTTTACAGTTTAATGCTAAGCATTTAAAATTTTTATTCAGCCGTGATATTAGCTGGTTTTTAGGAAATAAAGGAGTGCAGGTGGTATAGTCATTACACACAAGGTTGCTAACCCCAAGGTCAGCAGTTTGAAACCACCAGATACTCTTTTGGAGAACAATGGAGGTTTTTATTTGTGGGAAGAGTTTCAGCCTCAGAAACCCACAGTGGCAGTTCTACCCAGTCCTGTAGGGTCACTGTGAGCAAGAATCAACTCAGTGGCAGTGTGTTTTCAGTTTGGATGTTACCTTTCTATCATTACCCACAAATGTTCTCATTTGAATAAGATTGAAGTAATAATTTGAATATCTTTTATTGTGTAAACTGCTTCATAAAATATTAAGAGACATGGGCTTTACTATTATCAATCATTTTTGGCAGATTTAGGGGGTCTATTTTTTGTTTATGTAACAACTGAAGTATTACTTGAAGCTCAATAGTGAAGCCTTGTATTAAGTATTTTAAGATTCTATAATTTTATTTATTTTGAAAAGATATAGTTGTCTTCATACTTCTTCTGTTTTAGTGCTTGTCTTCTATAAGTAAAATTAGAATTGATTTTCGTCTTCACTTTTTTTTTCCATTCTATCGGGGGCTCTTACAACTCTTGTTGCAAACCATACATCAATTGTACCCGACATATTAGTACATATATTCCATCGTTCTTTTCTAGACATTTACTTTCCATTGAGCCCTTGGGATCAGCTCCTCCTTTTTTCCTTCTCTCCCCCAAGCCCCACCCCTCATGGCCTCCTGATAGATTTTTAGATTGTTAATTATTTTCAAATCTCACTCCCTTCCCCTCTGGTCTCTGTTGTTCTTACCCCTGACTGGGGTGGGTGTGGTTATGTGCTATTCACTGCGATTGGTGCCCCCCTCCCTCCCTACTTCTCCCCTTCTCCCTACCCTTTTGGTATCTCTTACTTCCATTCCTGTTCCTCGGTTCCATGTGTTGTGAGTTTTATCTCTTGCCTATCAACATGCTCCCGTCTAGTCTAGATTGGGAGGCGGCACTGAGGTCTTGATAGGGGGGGGGGGGTGAGGAGGCCTCTCCGAAACAGAGGTTCTTCACTTCTTTTACACACTTGTTAATAGTTATTTTGGCCAGCTTCAATCTCATGGCTTTTGTGCTTAAGACCACAGATTCTCTGTTTCAATTCAGTTAACGTTACTTGATCATGTATTAAATTAAATTAAATCCCAAAACTCACTGCCATTGGGTCAGTGCTGACTCATAGTGACTCTTACTCACCTTCTAAGGAACCCTGATGGTGCATTGTGTTGAATATTGGCTTATGTACCACAAAGTTGGTGGTTCAAATCTACCAGCTGCTCCACAGAAAGATAAGCTCTCTGTTCTGTAATATTTATAGCTTAGAAATCCCCTGGAACAGTTCTCCACTGTCATCTAGTGTCACTGAGTCAGAGTAGACTCAGTGGTGGTGGATTTGGTTTTGGTTTTGGTATATAAATTCTTTGCATAAGATTATCCAGCCTTACTGTTTTCTTTGAACCTACAATCTTACTAACTATTATTCTAAAATATTATTCTAAAATTGCCTTACTCGTTTTTTTTCTACTTAGCATGATATTTGATACCTTTTAAGTGGCTAAAGAAATGTTTGCTAAACAAATAGGGAAATCCTTTCCCATTTACATAGAAAAATATAAGGGACTACCATGAGTTACTTGAGTTATGATTGTATTTTTTATTTTAATTTATTTTCAAAATTAGTTGTCATGCATTATCTCATGCAGTCAGTATGGCAAAAGTCTTTTTAGCCATATTTTAAGAATTGGATGCTAACAGGGCCATTGAGGAGGGGCACTTTCTTTTTGGTATATCATAGTTAAAGAATGATCAGACATTGATACTTATATTTTAATTAAGTGATGCCCAGATGAAGTCATCTTATTATATCTGCCAGGAGAGCTTTCAACTGCAGGTGGAAAAGAAACAACGAATAGTGGCTTAAATAAATACAGAGGTTATTTTTTCCCAAATACCAAAAACTCTTGTTGCTACTGTTTCAAGGACCCGACTTTGTCGTCCTTGACTGTTGCCTTGTTGTCATCATCATACATACTGTGTGTGCAAGACGGATGGATGCTTTCGATATAAACCTCCCTTCCAGGAAAGAGAAGGGGAGCTTCAACTGAGATGGTCCCTTTATCAAGGAAACAGAACACTTTCCAGAGACTTCTCAGAAGACTGAGAACTGAATTGTGTTGACAAATAGTTGCAAAGAAATTTGCGAGTGGGTGTTTTGCTCTCTAGTCTAAGGAGAGCTGAGAATGGCTTCTGAGAGCCCATTAGCAAGTGTCTACTTCATTGATAGTTATTCCAAGATTTGTGGAGTGGGATGTAGTTTCTAAACTGTCAGGTCTTTTTCAGGTAAAATCTTAAAGAGTACCTTATTCTGTAATATTAAAGGTTTTATTCTGGGGTCATGATAGTTTTTTTTGTTTTTTTTCTTGTTTTTTAGGGCCCATCTTCCTTCTTTTCCTGTAGATTAAAGAATAGACACTGGTTAGCATATATCCAGAAATCCCTGCTCTGCTGTAATTTGTTGTACCTATATAGTTGAGCTTTTTTTTTTTCCTTCTTCAAGAAAATCATACCATCAAGGAAATAAAGACAGGGCTCTCAACATTGCTTTTCAGACTTGGCTCATTTTTCCTAAGGCTTTAAGCTGGAATAATGGAATTCCCATTTCCAAATCCCAGGGAGTCCTTGGGTGGCACAAAAAGTGCTCAACTACTGGCCCTTTTAAAGGATGGTGCTTTTAACAAACAACATGCACAAAGATGTTTGGGAAAACAGGCCAAACTATCTGCTTTCCAAAAGTCACAGCCTTAGAAAACATAGTTCTGTTTCACTCTGCACACGTGGGATTGCTGGGAGTTGGAATTGACTTAGCAAGTAACAATTTCAAATCAGGAAACCTACCTGCTTTTGCACCATTCTCTCCCCACTTGAGTGGAGGGCCTATTCCTTCTGGTAACACCAGGGTGGATTTGAACTTCCAACCTTTCAATTAACAGCCAAATGAACCACTATCACCAGTGACTAGGTACTACTCTCTAGGTAGCTTCAACGGTTTATGGAAAAATAGAATTAAAAGATAATAGAATTTTTCCATGAACTTTTGAAAGTTCCCTCATATTGTTAAGTCCTTCAGTTCTCAACTTAAACATGCCTTCCTACCCCAAAGATGACATCAGAATATTCTGCTTTGGTCCAGCTTGGGATCTCAGATTGTAAACTCTTATAACAATTTGTAGCTTAGGTCAGCATTCTAGTCCTTGACTAGCTGCCTCACTATTCTTTAAAGCAGTGGCTCTCAACCTTCCTAATGCTTTGACCCTTTAATACAGTTGTTCCTCATGTTGTGGTGACCCCCAACCATAAAATGATTTTTGTTGCTACTTCATAACTGTAATTTTGCTACTGTCGGGAATCAGGCAACACCTGTGAAAGGGTCATTCAACCTCCAAAGGGGTCACGACCCACGGGTTGAAAACTGCTCATTTAGAGTCTCAGACACCCTCTATCAGTCAAAACCAACTCAGTGGCAGTGGATAAGCAGACAGTAAATGTGTCTTGTTCACCATTGTAGTGAGTACATTACAGACAGTAACTCAGTTGGAAAGCTGTTGCAGTACATTAACAGGTGGAATAGAGTGGTAGAAAAAGCCCTGGATTGGGAGATAGGAAATCTGGTTTTGAATATTGCCATTAATGACTTTTAAACCTTGCAAATTTGTTGTTTCATTATTGATACATTTACTCTCAATGCCTGTAGAGTAAATGAACCAGACCAAACCAAGCTGTCATCTACTTGATGCCCACTCATAGGAACCCAAAGGGCACAGGAGACTTGTCTCCATGAGTTTCCAAGACTGTAACTATTTACTGGAGTCGAAAGAAAGCCCATCTTTCTCCTGCAGAACAGCTGGTGATTTCGAACTGCTGACTTTGTGGATTGCAGACAATGCGTACCTACTACACCACATCAGCAGGACTCTTCAGATCAAACAAAAATTTACTCAGTAATGAGTGTTTAACATAGTGCTAATGATAATGCTAATCCTTGGAAATGTATCAAAGACCTAAACAGACATGCTTATCTTCATGAAGTTTCCGTATATTAGAGTGGATTTGTGTTTGGTGGCCTCTGAAGTCTCTTCAGGAGCCGTGGCAGCACAATGGCTAAAGCAGTCTGCTGCTAATCTAAAAGTCAGTGGTTTGAACACAAGCCGCTACACAGAAGAAAGATGTGGCACTCTGTTCCATAAAAGATTCACAGCCTTGGAAACCCTCTGTGAGTCAGCATCCACTTGACCTCAGTGAGTTCAGGTCTCAAAGATGCAGTGACATGAAGTAGTTTGTTATAGGCATCCTGGTGTGATTAAATAAATGATAACATCGTTAAAGGAAATTAGAAATAGCCATTCCCATTTCATTTATGGAATTGAAGTACTTTCGTTTCTGTTTTTCAGTCCAAGCCTTATGCCTTTGATCGGGTATTCCAGTCAAGTACGTCTCAAGAGCAAGTGTATAATGACTGTGCAAAGAAGATTGTGAAAGGTAAATATATTTAACCTGTTGAGTTCCAGCACTAAGTAAAATTTTGTTTATGATCTTCCATGGAAGATTGCTATCGTTGGAATTACAATGTTGCATACGTAGAAAATGTGTTTCAATTAGATATTCCCTGGATATTTTCTGAGGTGGCAATTTGTAGAAATAAAACAACATGACAATGAAAACAAAATGGCCAAACTTAGCTGACTTTATAAGAGGAAACAGAAATTGCAGTCTTTACTATTTTTCCATTCCATTGTTATTCCTTCCCCAAAGATTTTATCTTGTAGCTAGCAGAGAAACTCCTAAGGAATTTAACATGTAACACAAGTAGTTACCAAGGACGAGAAAAGCATACACATTCCAGTCAGTACTAGTGGCCTCTATATTTTCCAGTTTTAGGCTTTCCAAGACCATAGAACCTTAGAAGTGAGGGTGGACTTCAATCCACTCTTACTACAGGTATCTCTTTTATCTAGAAGGGATCTTACAGTTATGTAGCATTACTTTGTTTATTCTATGACTTACTCTATTTTTTGACGGCTCCATTTGTTAGAAAGTGCAACTGAGATTGAGACAAAATCTGTCTTCTGGCATGCACCAGGAAAGGAGTTGGGATTCAGTAAAAAGTGGAATGGTTGATCTTGCTCATAGGCAGTTTACTGTAGTAGGAGAAAAAATAAGTTTAGAGATGTAATAGAAGAAAAATACAGGTGTTTTCCTTCCTAATTCCATTTTGTCTATGATCTGGGAAGCAAAGTCATCACAGAGAATGAGGATACGGAAGGACGTTCGAGGAAAAAGTGGTAGAATTAGTCCATTACAGATTTCATTGGGTCAGAGGTTTTTGGATCAAGATAACTAGAAGTAATAGAAGATGGATACTTGAAAATGAGATACAGAGGTGTGTTAGTCTGGGTACTTTAGAGAAACAAATCCACAGAAACTCATGTATAAGAGAGAGTTTTATATAAAGGTTAAGTGCACATCAAGAA